CAAGAACCCCCACATCATCACCAACAGCTAATGGTCCATAAGCAAAAAAAAAAAAAATAAATCTGCCTGCTCAAGATTTTTTACCAACAACAGATTTAGACATGATTTAGATGAACACTGCACACCAGAGAAAGAAGTCCCAGTGGGCTCATTTACTCAGTTAAAACCAGAGACAAGGGAACTCATCTCTCACAAGGCATGAAAACACAACACCTTTACTAGAGAAAGTTGTATCTTTTACTGTCATGGAACAAGTGACAGAACCAAAATCATTAGGTTCTGTCAAAGAAATTGGTGCCGAGCTACAGTGCTTCTATGCAGGAGGGCACAGTATATTATGGGGTTTTGTGCTTTGATACTTACAACAGTTTTCATTGTCTTACCTTTACATTTTGCAGTTTCATAAAAGCGTTGAGTTTTACTCTAAACATGCTCCTCCTCAAACAGGTCTTTGAAAGCCTAAACCAATTATCTCACCAACATCTTCATCTTACATTTTCTCATCATTTCCAATTTCAAAATCCCATTACAAAAGAGTCCACTAATAAAAAACTTGTGCCTCATTGTAGTCCCTTTCTGGTTAATGTGTTGTGGTTTTTTTTTCCTACTGTAAGATCCTTTATCAAAATAGATGAGTTTATCTGTGCACATTTTGTGCTTCCTTCCATTCAATCTTGTTTGCCTAAACAACTTTTCAGTCTAACACAAATTATAACAATAATGCTTCTCTTTTCATCAAGGAAGAGACATTCCCACCTGTATTAAGACTATTAGGAAAAAACTAGAAGACTGCAAGAGTGCCATAATCTATAAATGAATCAATATTATGCTAGGTTTAAAAGTAATGTGGGATATCTTTTCAAATTTGATCCAAAAATATCATCATTCAGTAAATGGTTTTACATGCTTTTAACTGTGCTAATACAATCTCACTATCTTCTTTCCTGTTTTGAACAGGAATACAAATATTATCATTACACAGCTTTAGCATTTGACAGGGTTGCCTGGCTAAGTTTTTGAGGTATTCTTACAAGTCTTAAGTCAGTCTTCTCACAGACAGAATTACCTGTGGGGCTAAATTTCCCTTCTCTACTTTTATTTCCATTGCTACAAAAAAAGCCGTATTAATTTCTGAACATTTCAAAAACTGAACATTTATGTATTGCATCATACAGAACAGCATTTTCTCCTCTTGCCTTCAGAAACACTTGTCAAGCTAGACTTACCTTTATTGTTCATCTCAGTCACGTTTCTAGGCAAGTAAGTTTTGCTTCTTTACGATATATTCTTTGCAATATAGTGAAACTCTAATAATTCAAAGGACTGCCTGCATTAGTGCCCCCTCTCCCACTCCTTTCATATATGCAACTGAGAAATTCCTCTAAGCTACTGGAATTCTGTTGCTCAACTTCCTCTTGATGCACCCCAAAACTCAGTTGCCAAGCAGAGATCCCTCTCTTGCTAAGGACATAACCTTCAGGCTCTTTCACACTACATGCAAAAAAAAAAAAAAAAAAAAAAAAAAAAAGAGTTCTGAGTAACAGAATCATATTTCTGTGACAACAATTATTAAAAAGCCACCCAGACAAAAGCAGTAGCTTTGTTGCTAAAAAAAATTAAAGATGAACCTACAGTCTTCGCAGTAAATAAAGCTATTTACACAACCATTTTTCCTTCATTCCACCTAATATTCCCATGTTTTGGACTCTTGCCTCACATTTTTAGGGCCATAAGTGAACCATTTCTTCTCAATTCTCAAGTGAATGAATATTACATAAATTGGTATCTGCAAATACCATCACAGAGAAACTATTCTGAGTTCTCAATTATACGGTATACTTACATACATGCAGCTTATTATTATTACCATGTAAATGCTAATGGATACTTAAAGCTTCCACATCTGAAGGAGAAACTGTGAAAGACATTGGCTACCCAGTATTATCAAATATCTCCAACATCCATTTTAATACCAACATCCATATACCCCGAGATGGATAAAATCTAGTTAAATACTGACTACTGGGATACAAAAAGGAGAATTTAAGCTCATACAGTTGCATTTGGAATACTTAACAAGATCCCAAAAAAGCTACAGTGCACGATTTGAACAATAACCAGAAAGATGATTGAAAAATTTGCACATTACATATAACAACTTCCCAGAATCAGCTTAAATTGTATCAATTCACTTTCAACCCTCAGTTATCGTGAGTATGCAGTAACTTTACTTTGCACCTTCATGTAGTCTACCATTTCTGCTCAGACTGAATTTGATCACCTACTGCTGTTGACAATGCAGTGACACTTCACCTACAGTTCTTTTTTAGCGTAACCAGATCTCTTTTAGCGTAACGCCTGAACTATCTAGAGAGGCTCACCAGCATGCTTCTCATTTGTGACTAGACAATTCAGTTCAAACAGCATTTGGAACATAAATTATGTAGCTAGTACAGACTTTTAGTTAAACAGGACAAGACACAGTGACAGGCTGCTAACTTGCTTTTATCTCTTTACAGATGTTCAAGTATTGGCTTATTATGCCAAAACAGTGTAACCAATCACTTCTTGGCTAAAGCTGGTATTTTGACACTTATTTCTATTAGATAAAGCAGAAGCCCTTGCCTCAAGCATAACAAAGACTACATGTTGATTATAGGTTGTATCAGCTAGGAACAGTCAGTCTCCAGCTCCAGTTCTTTTCAGTTCTGGAGTTCCACAGAAGAGAAAAGGAACAGGTACACTAACAATGTTATGCCAACATCCCTTTTTTAAAAAAAATAAAGCATAGTTAACATCTAGCCTGAAAAAGAGTGAGATCTCTCTCCTCCCTTCCCAAAACAACTTAAAACTGTATTTATCCAGCTTGAGGGAAAAAAATACTTGGTTTAGTCTGTTTAGGGTCTTTATTTACAAAATAAGTTTAGATGAAACATTTTATTTTATGTTCAGCAAAGTCTACAGTCAGCTTCAGCTTTTCTTAGTTCTTAAGCATTCACTAACAGAAGCCACAGTAAGCAGTATCAAGAAAGAATTCAAAGACAGCAGAGTTCCACAGAGAGGAAAACAGTACAGCATACACTTTATGAGTAGCCCTATAAAGCATAAATAATTGTATTCCCTTTTGTTATCATTTTGCCATCTAGCAGCACTACAGATGCACAAATAACACAGTAGTTCACATCTGATTCTATAAGCAATTATAATCTTTTACCATAATACTTGAGGCATAGGAATGTATTAACAGAAGTGTGATTCATCAATATTGCATTTGTTGAGTACTGTAGTAACAGAAGAGTTATTGCATAGTTAGCCCAAGATGCCCAAGCTAGGCACAGAAAAGCATTGTTTCTTTTGTATCATCTTATGTACTATACCAGCTCCAAAATCACAGGACAAAAGCCTATTATGCTTGTTGCCAACTAAATGTTTTATACCTTCATGTTATAATCATCAGGCTGCTACTAAAGTAGCAGGGATCTCAGAAAAGTTTGCTTCATTCAGCAACTGTATTAGCAAGTATTACTCAATATAATATTTCTAATACACAATAGTGTTTTAATGCATTACTTTCTTGAGAAAGAAAACTTATCACCAACTCATATTTGGTGAGCTTTAATAACCAGCAATCGCATTAAGAAAATCGTAAGAATTTTTTCAGTATTACTAAGAACTCCATCAAAATCCATCTTGAAGGTGAAGATTTTTTTCCTAGGGCGTCCCTCTATCTGAAAATAGGCTTCTATTGATCCTTAAATCTGCAAAGGTACTGGAACACCAATAAATGATTGTCTGAATTACCTGTCTTATAATTCAGCACATCAGCAGTTAGAATCTCATTATTTCTACAAAGTATTTAAGATGGAACAAAACTCCCACTAAGAACAGTTACAATCAAATTCTCACTAATATTGATAGGTGAATACAGTTTTCTTCAGTGTAAGCAGGTATTTAAAAATCTGACTGATTTACTATATACCAAAAATCAAAAATCACACTTTAGGGGCTATAGTTTTCATGAACAAACTAGTTTATATGATGTAATAATCAATGCTGTTAACTGAAGCCATCTCCCACGACTAAGTTCCTTCTGTGTGGCCCCATGCAAAACAAACTTTCTGAATTCACCTGGAGTTTCATAAACACGCCGATCAGTACAAAGCCATACTGCAGCTAAGAAGGGCAGCCCTATCCTTCCTTGCTCCTCATCTTAATTATCTCATTTGCCAGAATTAGCTTTCCAGTGTATCAGCTCTGTGATCCTGTTGTATCAGACCACACCCACAAATGCTAAATGCTGAGAACTTCATTGCTTGTCTTGTTTGGAGAGCATTACTTTAGATCGCATGAAGCTACCCCTGAAAGCATGCTAAAAATTCAAGTACCTATCACAGACTTGGTACAGAGTCTTCTGTTGTTGATAAATTCAAGAAAAAAAATAAAATTATAAGTTGCATAATTACAAGCATTAAAAAGCAATTTAGTGATCTTCACTGGGAATCAAAACCATACTTTGGTAGATTAGCCATGCCAAAGCCCAAATTCAAATATAACCCCACCACTCAAATCTTAACAGCTTAAAAGAACAGTAGTTGTTACTAGCAAGGAAGATGCTGCTGCTGAAGTCAAGAGTTCACCAAGTATAATTGTCTCCTCATATGAAGATTGTTTTAAAGCTGTGTATGTTTTCTTAATCACCACAGAATTTCAAGTATAGCTTTTTCTACTTCAAGAGAGCAGAGTCTGTCAAACACTATTAGAGATACAAAAAGGATCTATCTACCAGGTTCCTGACTTTTGAGGTCTTTATGACCTTAAGTTAAATGACTAATATCAAGGATGTAAAATTTAGATATCGTATGTAGGGAAACCCCTTGGTTGTGAGCCAACAACTGGAAGACTCCATATATTACCAGGAAAGCAAAATCAGACTAAATTAACATAATAAAAGAAAGCTGACACTTTTCCTACCTCAATTTAAGATGTATATAACCACTTACCTGAAGCATAGCTTCTTTCTGTGGTACAGAAGATGCTCTCTCCTCACACGGGGATGGTTTGTGAGTGGGTGGAAGGTCAATGCTGTGGTAAAGAAAGAATGAAATATTATTTTAGCTACCAAGTCATCCAACACTCAACACTGAGGACAAACACACCTTTCAGTCAGCAAGCACACATCCACCACTGGCAATAATTCAGCGCCCCACTTTTGTACAAAAGCACCTCCTATAATTTTTTTTTTTAATCCTATAAGGTGTTAAGTAGACTGAACTTCCCCATACACACTCTAGCTAAGTAACAGTAGGGACTATTGGTATTTATCAGCATTTCTAGTTTATGAGATATAGCTTAAGCAACATTTACTACTACAGCTTTTCTTTGATAAGCCTTTGAGAAAGCCCTACGATCAATTACTACATGCAAGATTTCTCTGTTGTAACTTTCTCAGTGAAAGCAAATAGTTATAAAAAAATCAAATGTTTAAGACTATTCATATAAATATGCATCAGCTACAGAACTTAAGAGAAACTAAGAATGTTTCTAATCATGTTAGAAATTAATTGTAGGAAAACACTTGTCTTGCTACCTCAAAAGACTCAAATTCTGAAGCTTATTTTATGCTAAACATTGTTTTATATTACTCCTCATTAAGTACATACAGACATGACAGACATTTTCATTTCTCCTTCAGTTTAAGCGTTAACTGTATATAGCATGTGTGAAGACTTTTATTTATAAATCTTCAAAGCCATCATCACTTTTCATGCATATTCCAAACAGGGTCTAGACATCATCCACTTTGACAAGACCTTCTCAGACTTTTTTGTTTGCTTGTTTTTTTTTTTAAGCATCCAATATGGTCAAACAAAGTAAATGGCATATCTGTGCAGGGACTTCAAACAACGAACATTCCAGAAAGGACATTAAGTCACGTCATTTCTATGCACACATGGCCATGGCTGCTTGCTTCATTTTGCATACCTATCAGGATAAAGCTTAGCAGTCCTTCACTTCTTCAAAGCTCGATCAATATACTCTCATGTTAGACCTATAGTTATGATACACTAGTAGTCTATGGCATCAGTGAAGGTGGACATCTCCCCTGCTCTCCTACTGACGAGCAGCCTCCTTTCAAGGAAGCTTCTGAAGAGAATTATACTACCTCTGAAGTAATTCTTAGCTTCCTCATTTCTTTTTCAGAAATGCAAGTGATTTTATATTTGTCTACTCTGAAAATACAGCCCTAAAATTATGACAGCTGAACAGCTGCTAAGGAAACTCAAGACATTTAAATTCCTTTATAGAACACTTTCTGCATATTGTTTTGAACTAAAAAAAAATAATCCAACATATACTCACACTTTGTCAAGATAGGATGGCCTTTTTTTCCTCGGGGTCAGCAGCACCGTCACAAAGATGGTAATGATAAAAAGAGCAAGGACTGCTCCAATCACAGCCCCTGCTACAGCAACAGAAGATGTCTGCTTAAATGGCACATCTGCAATGTGATAGCACAGATTACACCTTTAAGAAGTTCACATACTTTCAATACTCCAATAAACTATTTCAGCATTGCTCTGAGACATGTTTCTTCCTTCCATGGCCAAACAGAATGCCTTGCCCTGCACTAGCATTCTTGCAGTATTGGCTCCAGTCACCTAACTGAAACACTGGTTGAATTAAGACAGCTCATGAATCATCAATACGATTTCAGAAAATTTCATTGACTACTTTTAATAACACTAGCTGCATGCTTTTATTTCTGATTTCAAGGCACTTTGAAGTTACAGAACACATGCTTTGCACTTACATGAGTAAATGAGGTGTTGACTCAAAAAGATAGACAGCTATGGCTTTATTGGCAGTCTTTCCTTAGAGCCACTGAATTTTGCAGAATTTTTCTTTTGACCTCAGCGTTGTCAAATCTAATGTTTAACAGCTCATGCTGAATTAACAAACTTGTCAGTCTTCAAAGGTCACCCATTTCACTATGCTAAGAATTCAATAAGTTTTAAATGCAAAAACTCTGAAACCTGTTAGGATCCTTTAATTCAGTGTCATCAATCTCAGATTCAAAATTTGCATCAACAGGCTTAACAAGAAGTTGCAAAATCTGAATAATTCACATTAGCTTCTCTGAAACTTCTGCCTGTAAAATACAGGTAGCACATGGAAATAATGCTCTGATCTACACTGATTACTGGATCATAAAGGTAACAGCAAAATTAACTATTAATTAAAATTAACACAGCTGTATGTTTGTAACATATTTCTAATGTAGTTTTCTTCAGCTATTTTCCTTCAGAAATAATATGCTGTGTTTCTCCAAAGACCACATGACCATCCTCTATTTAACCTCTTACCAGAGGAAATTTTAGGAGCCTCTTCAGCTATATATTCTATTCACAGGTCAAAACCCAAAACCTATGCAATATATTTTACCAATTACTCATAAATCTAATACTGTTTTGCCTGTATGCTGGAAAGTTGGACAAAGTAATTTTTTTTCTCATCCCTTATTTTGAAAAAGCCAATCAAAACAAACCACCTTACTGCCAATCTGATAAAGGGATTCCTGTCTTCTCGCTGCATATGAAAGACCTGAGAGCAATACTCCCTAGGATCACTCATGCAGGTATGTTCAAGTACCTTGACCAAAACTCAAATAACCAATTTTTGTGACTTTCTTAAAGTTAATGGATAAAGTCATAGATTAACAACTTCCAGTAAGCTAATTCACTCCGGAAGATAAACATAACATACCACCTTCACTGATCACTGTTCTGCTTTACAAAACAGGTTTCTTGATATAAGCTCCATTTCATCTGTTAGATACCAGTCTATATATGCAAGAACCATAATTCACAGGTTCTGCTGATGAATGGGCACATGGATCAGTGGAAGACTGCCTTCACCACTGCATTTTAATTGGCTTAATTTTAGTTTACACTGGGTGTCCTCTTGTTTAAGTGAGAAAGCTGCAGGTAACTAATATATGCCGTTAGCTCCAGAATTCATGAGGATGCTTTGGTCTTGTATTACACCGGAAGAGTTTCTTGACTGCTTCATACTGTGCCAGCCTTCTTTTTCAATAAATCCTGCTGTTGAAACATCATAAAGTAGTATGCTTTCACTAAGTTCAGCCACTGAATCCCCTTTCGGGTGAGATGATGATAGCCACCCATTTACCTCTGAACACCAGGAAAAATAGCGGTATCCCAGTAAGTGTAACAACACACACAAAGTGAACTGTGGCACAATTACCACAGGACTCAATTTGCTTTTTTGAATTGCTTTGGCAAAAAAGTAGGGACAAAAATTCTATCAGTCTAACCCGAGCAACAATCAGAAACCCAGAATACCATGCCATGCTGAACAAGCCAGAGCGTACCAAAGATGTGTGGTGCCAGCTACACAGCATTTTAACCACCAGTTGGTCAGAAACAGATGGGAATTGATTCACTCCAAGAAATGTTGTTAAAACAGAGCTACAGCAACTGAAAACAAAAAAAGGATTTAATTCTTTTTAAAAGGAATGTGAATCCTAGATAGTGTATCATCTGCGCTTAGAGTGAAACTGTTTGGACAGCAACTATCCCTATTTATCATTCTCAAGGTTCATACTTCTAAAAATAGTTTCTGAAGACACTCGTTTTATAAGCTTAGGGTCTCCAAGAAGAAATGCTAAAAAGCCCATCTTAAACAGCTTAAAAACTTTAGCTCCTTCTACCCAGCCTCTGGTTTTATTATGCTTTTTCATCTCCAATTTAAGAACATATCTGTCAGACATTTTTGAACACTATCTATGTTCCAGAATGTAACAAAAAGTTTATTCACACAACAACCATTTGTACTTACAATCAATTCTTTTTACAGCAGACATAATGTACAAAACATTGCAACACGCGTAGTCCTATCCCTATTATCAACTTCAAAACATTTCAACTTCTTAACCCATAGGAATTAAATATATATATATTTTTAAAAATCAAAACAAAAAATCCACAGAGACAAAAGCAAGATATCCCATGTGGAGAACAGGTTTATGGTTATGTTTATTTCCAAGTAACACCATCTTTTAAAGATGACATATAAAGTATTTTTTATTTGAAGAGAGGTATGATCTCTTTATTCCAGAAATAACTTGGATCAGAACCTTCTAATAGAAACTGAACTCCTTTCCTTGTGTTTGCACTCAAACTACAGATACACACAATATCATCTGCTATTGTTCTTGAGACTTTGGTCAATCATGTATGAGTACTCCATTAATCCAAACATGAACTTAAGTTATTTAGGGATGCTTTTCCATTTGAATTTCAAATAAAGCTGTTGTCTTAATCCTTTTTAAAGACATGCAGTCATATGCAATCACAGTGTATTGTCTACAACGCTCAATACAACTATTTTTGTGAAGCTCTAAATGCTGTAAGCTACCAAAGATCATGAGGATAGAAAAGAAGTTCCAGCATAAATGCTCATGAAGCAGCTGTAATTATGCAGTCTATTTAATTTCAAAGGTAGCAGAGATTTCCTCCCCCCCCCCCTAATAGCCTTATCAGCTTCATTTTCACAAGCCAAACACTTAAAAATGGCACTTCAAAGGACCTACTACTCTGAGTTTATCATTGTTCTGTAATTCATCTAAAACTTACTTCATTCCTCCCTATATAATCAGCAGAGTTAGTCTGGTGAACTTGCTCAAGACAAAGTAGAACTACTTCAGATGTCAAACGACATGTCCTACATACAATTTTGAAGAACATGTTAAATCAGTATCAATTATTTGCAAGGAAAACAAATCCACTGCGGTACAGAGACTGCACAATTTATCTGAACTCCTGTTTCATATTCTGTAGTTGCACCATCGGAAAGTGTGTTCTCACTATATGAAGTAGCAATGCAAGTGTACACTTCCCTACTAATAATCTGAAATTCTAGTTACCCTCTTCAAAGCTAGCACTGTAACTTATTCATAAGCAGCGTAAAACCGCTGTTTTAACTTCTGGCCATAAAAATTCTAGCAAATGCTTTGACACCTCTTAGCATGCTTAATGTTTATTGGCACCTGGGAAAAATAAGCAAATTTGTATTGGCCTCCAGCTTCAAAATCTATTAGAGTTCTCCTCTTACTTGTGCCCAATTCTCCAGCTTCCAAATTCAATGGTAAGATTCCCACAAAACCTCAGAAACAGGTCTCTAAAATTGTATCCTGTGTACTTGCAAAGAGCCTTATAATCATAATGAGATTTTACATCCTGCCAACTACAGGCCTAACAAAATATCTTACTGTATGTATATATACAGACACTAGCATAAGCTTTAGAAATCAATGGTTATAAAAAAATAATTTTTTCATCTTATTCAAAAGACAAGCCTTTGACCAGTTTACACAGTTACTCCTCCAAATTTTGTTCATAACTTAGCTTCAGTGCAATGACTTCTTTTAAGTACGTAGTTACAAGAAGGCTCATTAAAATGCTAAGAGGTATTAATTTTTGTGCAGAAAGACCTAAAGCTTTGATTCTGCTGTAACTGATTTTAATTGGTAAAGTATTTGCTATAGAGAAGCAGCAAGTTTACCATGGATGGTATCTAGATTGGAGTAATTCACTTAATCTGCAAAGTAAAAGCCCCAAAAGATTATATTTGATCATTGCCTTCGGTAAACTTCTTTTTAAATTAGAGAGCCAAGACAGCCCCTTTTTATTCTTCAAAAATTTTGAATGACAACTTTAATTTAGCCTTTTTTGCCTCTGACAGAGACCAATAAGCACTCTGCATTAAAACTCATATCTTAAACAGTAGTACAGCATTGGGAAAAAAAGCAGCTCAAATATATTTTCCCTAGTTCAATATTTCCATTGTGTCAAGTCACAATATAAAAACCTTCCAAAAAAAAAAATCAGTTTCAAAAAGTTTATTCCTCCTCTTGTGTAAGTATAAACAATCTGAAAGTGATCAGCCAATGAAATGAACTGTAGGTACACATTTAGTTTTCAGTGGATACTACACATACCACTCCCTCCGAGATATTACCGAGCCATCTATGTGAGAAACAAAGTCTTCTTCATTGTCATCATAACATTCACCACCCATATACTTCATTCCCAATGTTCCACCTTCATAGTAATCCATTGGTCTTTCGTAACGTTCCTGGTACCTGTTAATATTGTCTATATTGTTCCACTCTGGTTTTTCAGCATCTTCTAAGTAATCTTTAGATATTAAGATGTCCATTGGATGCTTTATTTCTTTTTTTAAACTGTCAGGGTAAGAATCCACATCATCTGACTGAAGAACATCTATTTGAGACTCTTTTTGCATGTCTGATGGTGGAATGTAGTTCTTAGCAAAGTAGTCACCACGGAACGTCCGTCTTCTCCTATAGCAGATAATTCCAACCAGAACACTGACAAGTATGAGGAAGAGCGCCCCACCCACCGCACTACAGATGACGGTACCCCAAGTGTCTTCCTGCATTACTGGCAAGGTTGA